GTCTATCACTATCCGCATTTATTAAAGGTTGAACAAACATCATAGGTTCTTCTTTTTGTCGTTCAAGGAGAAATTTTAACAAATGAGAAGCATCTGTTCCAGCTATTTTTTTTTCACGTTTAATTTTTTGAATTGCATTTGAAAGATCTTGTGTAAGAAAAAGCTGGTCAGGAAATAATGGTTGTAATAGATTTCTTATAGTATATGCATCACAACGTCCATGTATAACTGCATGTTCAATTTCATTCATTATAGATTGATTAAATTTTCGGAATGTTGTAGCAAATTGTGTATTATCAGCAAGTATTTTGTGGTTGTGTTCAAGATGGATAGACGTTACATGAATGAAATTATTATTTATAGTTTTACTCAAGTGAACCCGCCATTTACAATCAGTTTTTTTTGACCCTTTATTACGTTGTTGATCAATTTGCTTAGACTTATAGTTAGGTTTGTACTTTCCAGCATATTCACAAGCAAATGTTCTTCTTCTGGGAATTTGAACAGTTGAGTTTGATAATTGAATATATTCAACTCGGTATTTATTAACTACAAATCCCTTTTGCCTTCCATATTCCTTTAGATAATGTTCAGCAATTTCCCACGAACTAAATTTTGAATTAACAGATAATTCTATAGGATGTGTTAATGAAGGATAATTTGTAGAGTCAAGACTTTCTAATTCTGAACCAAGAATAATTTCTACGGGAATTTCAACTTCAGTTTCAATTTCTTGCTATTTAATAGATTAATAAATAAGTTAGCTGTTAAGCACATTAAAGTAATGCTATTTAATACCAATAAATTAATGCGCAATAATATAATGCTTTGTGACGTTAATTAATATATATCTAACGCTATTTAACGTCACCTAACTAATAAATAATGTACATTTAACGCTATCTAACTAATAAATAATGCTATTGATGTTAATTGTTAAGAAATTAACACTATTAAAACTCTATACCATATGCCGTTTACCCCAAATTAATTTTTTTTAAGCACTTTCAATAGTATTTCAGTAGTATTTCACAAAAAAAAAATGTGCGCAATTGACTAACCTGTGGAGTGTTATCATTTTCCATGTTTCACGAATCACTGCTTGAGCCGTGTAACCCAATTTCTTTATGATAATTGAACAATTAAAGTTTTTGAGCTACTTTACTAGTACATAAAAGTATTTTTAAATGTTAAGAAGCAACTTTAACGCGTTTTTAAGCAAAAAAACAGGTTGTTTTTTTTATTTAAAAAGAGTGTTAGAAAAAAAAACTATCGACGAAGCTATAAAATTGTTTATATTTATTGTAACACAATAATCGTGCTATATTTTAATTGGATTTATCACGTGATAAATAAAATGGGGGGTAGCGATGTCATCGCACGTGCGATGAATAAATTTTCTCTTTTTATTATATAACTTGATATAGTTTGATTTACAGCACGTCACCACCTCGTGTCTAAAGCGTGGTTCGATCACGTGACCAAATTAACCAGTACAATTTTGATTGGTTTATTTTTGTGGCTGAAGCAAGATTATTTTAACATAAATTTTGGAAATTTTTTTAATCGAATCAATGAAAAATTACATAAAATATAGAAATTTTATTTGATTATATATCCTGGTAAAAAAATTTTTATTGATTCATTTTTCTAATTTTCATGCCATCTGATTATTTAAAACAGGTTCTATACAATTTTTTAATTCTCTAATAAATGTACCAGTTTGTTCTATATTACCTGTCTCTTCTACTCTCCAATACATATCACGAACTCTTTCCATTAATTCACTTACAGCTAACCGTCTGTTCTCTGTTGCTTTTTCAGCTTCAGTCATCCTAGGCACCTCCAAATCAACCAACCCACGAGAAATATATATGTCAAATCCAGCTTCATCAAACATTCGCTGAAATTTCTCCCATACATCAGATGTTAAGAGTTTTGTAACGCCATACGCATGTTCATGGAATATATGATGGCAAGGTAATAAGTACCGATGAAAAAACAAGCAATAACAATGTAAAGAGGTAAGACCTGGTGCTGATTTTCCTTTTTCCATTCATGCACAAAACTCACTAATGAGCATTTGTTAAACAGGAAACGGAAATTTGTGAATTTCTTGAAGAATATCATCATCAACACCAACAGCTGAAATTCTTTTAACACGAAATTCATAAGCAACATGCTCTGAGTCAGAACATTTTTTCTTATCAAGTTCGACTATCTTATGACATGCACCTATTGGAATTTTGATTAGATGTAGTTATGAAAATCATAAACAAAAATATATACCAATTAAACCATGTTGCGGGGAGGTTAGACTCTTTAATTCACTGTGATACGACTCTAAGGCATTTGTTGAGGTCACCTGTAAAAGAAGAGGAAAATGTTGTCGTGCCCAGAGTGCCCACTGATGTATATTTTTTGTGTAATTTCTAGTGATGTAATTTTTGATGGTCGTAATTGAGCATTCATTGATAGCTTGTTGGACAAGATCTTCACAGCCGATCTTAGTTCTTTTGTGCATAGCATGAATCATCTTTTGTCGCATTTTTTTATCATAAATTTTATTCATCCAGGTTCGCATGATATGTACTGTGCAAAAAATAACATCACAATCTTGTTCACCATTTTTAAGACCCGGAAAAGCCATCCTGATGCTATTAGATTCTATGTTACTTTGGTCAGAGAGAAAATATCTTGGGCTCCAGTGGCGTGCAAATCGTCTAACAATTTTTAAACCTTCCGCGATGGTAACACTATCTTCCTTACTTACAAAGACAACATTCCAACACCCATAATAATCACGAATATATAAGGTGAATAAGCGGCAATCATACCTATTAGTTTTGTGTGTGGAGTCTATAAGAGTTAACCAGCCATGTTGCTCAAGATTTTTGAGCTGTTTGGGATGCATGAAAACAAAACCATAGGTAGATAGGTGGGAGATTTCATAATACTCGACCAAATATTCTTGATTTTTTAAGAAAAAAATAGAATCCTGGATATCTAACTTTAGATCAGAATTACCAACAAGATGTGCATCAAGAGCCCACGTACTTTATACTTGATATTTGTAACTTCCTTCCGTCTCAATTCTTTTACACTTTCTCCTAAATCCAACTTTTCAGTTGCGTATTCCTTCACTGCATTAACAATTTCTGGTGGTCGATAATTCTTTATGGCTTCTTGCATAACTAAATTCTGAACAGTCTGTGAGCGCTTAAGCTTTTCACTCTCCTCCAAAGTATGTGAATGATCAGGCGAGTCTTTAAATCGTTCTATTAGTACTTTCTGTTCAGAAGCATAACGGTAAACTTTGATTTTTGCGAAACACAAGTTAGCCGATCTGATTTTTGTTACACGACGTTTTTCCTGTGAAATTTCCTCCTTTCGAGTACTTGATTTCTTAGGTTTATTAAATCGACAAATAAAAACTTCCCACAAATTACCATTAACATTATTTTTATGGCTAAAATTAGTCCATATATTTGATACAAGAGGCCACCACTCTTTATCAAATTCTTCTATTGAAAGCTCAAGTGGTTGTTCAACATTAAAAAGAAGATTACGCTTTTGATTAGGGGTTGGAGCTTCAGATACGGGTATGTTTATTATATTAGAAGCAAACGGCGTCATTGATTATTTTTAGTGGGTTAATAATAAACGAAAGTGTTTTTAAAAAAATTTTCAAAGAAAAAAAAAAACTAAAGGAAAGAAGTCTATATTAAATTTATTTCGTTAATAAATATTCGCTAGCAAATGTAATATAGGTGAGATTTTTTTTCTTAGACTTTCTGTCATTTAATAGCAAAAAACATGGAAGTCTTTAGCAACTACATAGAGAGGACCCCGGATAATTATAATAAAGGTCATATGCAAAAAAAGTATATAATTTTGCGTTTTTAATGGAAAGGTCATATGAAAAAACGGGTATTTTAAGAAAATGTTACATGCCAAAATAGAGTACCACCAAATTAGGTCACAGTAAAAAAAGTATATAATTTTAGACAAAATTTTAAGGTCACATGTAATTTTTCTAATAAAAGCGTATATTTTAGGATTATCATATGCAGTGTTACATCAATTTTCAATATAATTATATAAATAACGAGAAAAATCCATCTTTTACTTTGTGATAAATTTACCGCAATGTAATAAATTTATCAAATTTACTTTATATTATCCATGATAAACTTACCAGGAATTCAATATGATTTACCATTTATTACTTTTAAAATGTTAAGACACATACGCGTCATAACTTTATCTTTTACGTTATTATATATCAATATCAACACAAAATGAATAGTAAAAATCTTGAACAACTTTTAAACATTAATAAATTTCTCTCTACAACTCCACCTCCTAATATTCATTCTGTTCAAGATTATGTTTCAACTATTAATATATCCGGTATCTTTTCTATTACTTTTGACACTCCTCACGAAACTCTTCCTCCATTAACAAATATTGATAATACTGCTGAAAAAATCCTCCATTTGCAATATCCACATTTAACTTCTGCAGCTGTATTTTCTAATGGAGATTGTTTATTAAATTCTATATCTCTAATTTTTAATGCAAACCAAATGTTAGCATTACAATTTAGACTAGCTATGGTTGTAGAATTGATGAAATTTTCAAATTTTTATCTTAGTCAAAAAATTTTTGAACAAGATTATTATTTTTCCGATATAGCTTTAAATTCAGCCAAAAATTCAGATATGCCGACTACATATAATAAAGAAAGAGAATATATTAGTGAAATTGCTTATATATCTAAGCCACATCAGTTTTGTTCAATTATCGGATTATATGGCTTAGCATCAGTAATTCAAAGACCGATAATGTCAATATATCCTCCAACTGTTTCTCAACTAATTAGTTCATTGTATAATAAATTAATTGAACCACGAATTAAAGCTTATGATGAACCTATTATGATAATGTGGACACCATCAAGTGGAAAGTGGAATATTAATGATCCTTTACCACAAACAGATCATTTTGTTCCAATCTTCAAAAGAAATTCACCACCTTCACCTGATCAAAAATATTGATATTGAAATGCGTGATGTTCAATCTGATGAAAATGAAAATATACCTTTCAATATTCTTGAATCAGAAAAATGTATGAGTGATGGTTCTGATATAGTGGAATTTAACTCAAATGTTGATGATAATGATGGTGAATCATCATCATCATCATCGTATACTACTAATAATGAAAAAAATGTTAGGAAAAAGCAAACGCGAAATAGTCAAAAGCGAATAACGAAACTTGATCATATTAAAGTAAGTATCAGAATTCAAGATAATTAATCTATTCATAGTTAATTTATGATGCTAATAATTATTCAATTTTTTTTTATTAATTAGGATAAAAGATTACAAAATCATCCGAAAGTTAATAAGATTATTACTCGCAATGAAGTTCAATGTAAATGTGGAAAGATAATCAGATTGCATCGAGCTTATAATTCAAGAAATTTAGAAAAACATAGTAAAACTAGTAACTGTTTATTAACAGAAGGAATACGTCCACTCACAAGTTATTTTGTAAATTCTACAAAATCTCACCAAATTTCATGTATTGGATTGAGAGACGAGAAGCACTTAGAATATTTACAAAGAATTGGTGGAATTATACATTATGGTGGTGCACCACGTGTTGAAGTATTAGCAAAAGAATTATTTCCAATAAAATTTGACAAAAATTTTAGTTGGAAAAGGTTGACAAATAATGAAAAAATCAAATTAGAGAATGAGTTAGTTGCAAGGGCAAAATGGCGCAACGATTTTAATTCTAATTGTATTCGAAGTGTAAAATGTAAAATTACAACAACAAACAAAGGAAGAATTTGTAAAAAATGTATGAAGTTAAATAGTAACAAAATTTTAATGGTATTTATTAAAATTATAAATAATGAAAATTATTAAATTTAATTTTATATTAATTACATTACATATTATATTATTAGAATGCAATTGAACGGCCAATTCCAAAAATAGAGAATCGAAAATTTACACCAAAATTTATAATTAAAAAAATCCGATCTTCAAATACTTAAA